GTAACTTTTTTATTAGAATTGTTTATAAATGGGTCCTCCCTGGTGGTGCAATGGGTTAAAAGCACAGCACTATGAAGCTGTCTGCAGCCAATGCATCATGAGCTTGATCCCCGACCAGGGAGGTGACCCACATAGCGTGGCAGACCTCTGCTTACCTGCCTGCTGCTCCCTCAGCAGTGTGTTTCATTATTTCTGCCTATAGATTATGCTTCATTTTGGGTTTCCCTCATGTTTCCTCATGACTAAATTCATAATAAAATTTTTGGCAGAAATATCACCAAAGTAAAATTATGCTCTTACTTATTAGCTACTAGGTGGAATACAATGTCTAGTTGTCCTATCACTAGTGATATTAACTTTGATTACTTATATAAGGTAATATATGTCAGTTTTTTTCCACTGTAGAATTAGTGTTCCCTTTATAGTATTTTTTTAAGATTTATTTATTTATTCATATAGAACTGGGGTACAGGCCAGAGATGTGGAGAGTGAGAGGATTCACCAGAGACAGAGCAGGGAGCAGAACAGGCAGATCAATGAAGTACACTGCTGAGGGGAGCAGCGGGCGGGTCAGGAGAGGTCTGCCGGGCCATGTGTATCTCCTCCCGGGCAGGCGGGAATTGAACTCATGCGGAAGTGGCTTAAGCTTCTCAGTGCTGTGCTTTAACCCGCTGCGCCACCAGGGAGGGCCCCCTTTATAGTTTTTTTTCCTTTTTAATGATTTATATATATATATATATATATATATATAAACTGAGGTGTAGGCCAGAGGTGGGGGGGTAGGAGAAGATTCACTAGAAACAGAGTGGGGAACAAAACAAGCAGATTTACTGAAACACTGCCAAGGGGAGCAGGGGCGATACAGGAGCGGTCTGCTGCACCATGTGGGTGAGCTCCCTGGCCAGGTATAGAACTCAGAAGGTAGGGTGACAGGGCTGAGACTAAGCCCTAGGCCACCAGAGAGGTCCCAGGGAGATTTCTGAGGCTATGTAAATATCCTCATGCAGCTTTTACCCAGTAGTTGATAAAGATGTGGGCTATTTATATATTACAGTATTTGTTTTGTGTATCACTTTATTAATAGAATGGTTGCCAAAAGTGAATTTTCTAATTTCTTCTGCATTTATTTGTTGACATTCCTCAGCAATGAAATGCTTTTCTTTTCCTTATTTATGTATTTATATCAGTGTGAATATATCTTCTTACCTTATTCAGTGAGATTTATTTTTCACTATCATTATTTGTTTTGAAGCTCAAATTATGTTAGCTTTAATCAGTGAGAGCCCCATCAAGCTAGGTCCTCTGTCTTGACAAGTCCCTATCATTCATTTTTTTCTTGTATACGATGTTTCAAGCTTATCCTTTCTCAGAGCCAGACCTAGAATCAGTAATTTTCAACAAAGAGCTCCAGTTTTTTTTAGTGATAAACAGAAGCTTGAAATTGATATTTGAGTGCTAGGTATGCTAGTACCAATGTGTCATTGTTTTCAGACACTATCAGTGGACAGCTCTAAGATATTAATATAGTGGTATTATATATTAATATCATATTAATATATCATATACTATAAATATATTAACAACATATTAATAATATATATTTTATATTATATTTTTATATATTTACTATATGATAATATATTCATTAATAATATATTAATATCTAGATATATCATAGATAACATACATTTTGTATTTCTTTCTATACCTCCCTCTCTATTGAAATGTGTTGTGTTTATAACCTACTATACTAGTTACTTCCAAACTTATCCAAAAATTCATTCCATTTTCCCCTGGTTCCCTTCTTCAACAGTGAGAAATGTGACTCCCAACATCCCCAATATATTTATTTATATGCTCAATCCCATTGCAATCAAGCAATCATATGTCATATTGGGTCAAATGTCTTCTTAAAGCCACCTGCCTCACATTGTCCTAAGCCCTTTGGAGACTACTCTCCTGGTTTGTGTCTCATTAATGGCTTTTGATTAAATTACTGAAGGAAGGGTGAAGGAAGAGAGGGAGAAAGGAAACTGTCTTCTTTTTTGATATAACAAACAATAGCATTACTGAAACTTAATAATCAAAAAAGTGAATTTCAAGTAAAAAATTGACTGGTGTCCCTACTAGGAATGTATCATGGGTGTAATCACTACCTTGGCTTATCCCTAGATTCTCTGTGAAGCCAGAGATGTGCCTGCTCATCATAAAAAGGGGTACAAGGAAATACATACATAACTCTGTCAGAGACCAAATGGGGGTATAAATATTAGGATTTTCCTCCTAATATTTTCTCTATCAGTCTTTGGACAAGAGTGCTGTCTCACGCCTGTTAATCCCAAGCTTCACTCTTCCTCCAATTTCTCCTTGGCAGAAAAGTTGGACTGTATGGCTTGACAGATTCTGTGTAGTTTTGACTTATCTCAGCTGAATGCATTTACATTTTCATGCTTTTTAATAGATATATAGCCATAGAGTCATTACCTTGAATCTCTGGCTCCGACAAAAACTTATGCAGGTTTGTATAGTAAGTTTGTTAGATGTTTTACTGGCACCAGTCAAAGGAGGTGGGTTTCCATGATCCTTGTAGCAGCCAAGGTTTCCAGGCACTAGAGGAAAAAGAAAAACAAAAGAATTTCACAACATCTGGCTGTGAAACTCCAAGAAGGAAAAGTGGTGTGTGCCAGGTACTTTCATCTCTGTCAATATTTCCACTCTGAAGGTACAAATAAAAAACAAGCATTAAGTTTTAATGGAAGTCTTAGAGTCCTCTGTTAAATGCCATGTTTTTGTTTTACTTTGAGGAGTAAGTGAGGTCCAGGTCCACCTTTAACTAACCTTAAAATAAATTTTACCTGTTCATTTTAGCACAGAAGAAAACTAGGAACTAGGAATTTTCTTAACACAGAGACAATAGAATATATAATCTATGTTCACTATCACTAAAAGACAGGAATAGTTATTGCGCACTGGTTCCTTAAAAAGCTATACAGGGCCCTCCCTGGTGGCGCAGCGGGTTAAAACACTGCACTGAGAAGCTTAAGCCACTTCGGCATGCGTTAGATCCTGCCTTTCCCGGAGGTGACCACATGGTGCAGCAGACCTCTCCTGACCTGCCCGCTGTTCCCCTCAGCAGTATACTTCATGGATCTGCCTGTTCTGCTCCCCACTCTGTCTCTGGTGAAGCCTCTCGCCACCCCGAGCCTGTACCCCAGTTCTGTATGTACAAATAAATAAATTAAAAAAAAAAAAAAGCTATACAAAGTGGATTTCCCCAAGGTCTTTTGGTGAGGATATTTCCTATTGCTGATGTAACAAATGACCACAAAACTAGTGGCATAAAACAGCAAAAATTTATTATTTTACAGTTCAAGAGGTCACAGGTACTAAATAAGCCTGATGGGGCTGAAGCAAAGTATCAGCAGGGCTTTGGTACTTCTGGAGTCTCATGGGGAAGAATCTGTTCTTGGCAAGCCCTGGTGACACAATGGGTTAAAGTGTAGCACTATGAAGCTAGTCACAGCTGAAGCTGGCCACAGCTGTTTAGAGCATGAGTTCAATCCCTGGCCAGGGAGCTGAACCTCATGGCTCAGCAGACCTCGCCTGTCTTGCCTGCTGCTCCCCTTAGCAATGTACTTTGTCAATCTGCCTGTTCTGTTTCCCACTGTCTCCCTCACCAGCCCTGCACCTCTGGTCTGTACCCCAGTTCTGTATGAGTAAATAAACCTTAAAAAAAGAAAAAAGGTAACCAGCTTGATCTAAGAAAAAAAGAAGAATCTGTTCTTTTCCATCTTCTAGGATGTCTCTTTTCCTTGGCCATGGTCACAGCAGTCTCGAATCTGCTTTCACCATCATGTCTCCTTTCTGTCCTCTGCTTCCATCAAATTATCACCTCTGACTGATTCTCCTATCCTCTTTGTTATGAGGACCTGTGTGGTCATTAAAAGAGTATTGGGTTTATCTGGATAATTTAGAGTAATTTCCCAGTCTCAAAATAAATCACATCTTAATCACATCTGCAAAGTCCCTTAGACCATGGAACTCAAAGAATCTGAGGGTCATAACATATATATCTCGAAGGGGCTATTATTCAGCCTACCACAGTGAATATACTGGTGTTTTACAATTAAAAAAAAAATCAGCTGATTTGGTCTTATAGAAAAACTGTATCTGAGAATAAAGAAATCTAATTCTCCCCGAGCTTCCAAAAGGACCAAGGTCCCACTGATACTTCAAAGATGCCCTTGAAGATCATCTGGTGTTCATGTCCTTATGTATTCCTCTTCCCATCAGTGTGGGCTGGATTAGTAATTTACCTTTGACTGACAGAATATGGTAAAGTTTATGGGGTACCACTTTTGTGATTAGGTTACAAGACTTCTGTCTTGTAAAAGACTCTTTTACTGCTTTCTTGGCTTATATACTTTGATGAATTGATATGCCATGTCAGGGAGGCCAAGTTACAAGAACTGAAGGTGGCTTCCGGCCAATAGCCTGCAAAAAAATAATTTTTGCAAAGACTAAGTCCTACCAACAACTATGTGAAATTAAAGTAGATACCTCAGTGGAGCCTTTAGATGACACCCATCCTGGCAGACACTTCAAATGCAGCCTTGTGACAGATCTTAAAGTAGAGAACCCAGCTAAGCCATATTCAGATTTCCTGACCCACAGAAAATGTGACAATAATTGTATACTGTTTTAAACTGAGTTTTAGGGTTAGTAATCTATATCCCTTATTTAACATATGTTTATTGAATGAATAAATAAATGTATTGGAGGCATAGACAAACTGACCTCTCTGATCATATTTTTCCTATCTGTGTTATTAACCATTTCACTGTCAAATAAAGTCCTTTTCCTAGTCTCTGTTTGGTTCCTTACCATTTATATAGCTGAAGACACAGCAAGACAAGAATGAGGCCTAGTTCTAGAAGTACTTTTAGGTCAGTTAAGAGTTAAAGGTTGTACAATTCCGCCATACATACATGTAGAAAGTTTTTTTTTTCTTTATATTTAAGACAACAGCATGGACTAGTTTAATATGTTTTGTGTTCACATTAGTCTTTTGGCATATAAAATACACATGCATAAATGTGTGCATGTACACATACATACTCACACACTCTTTCTCACACACTTTTTAATTTCTGCTACCATCTACGTCTAATCAGCTCACTTTAAAATGGCAGGAAGTACCTCTGCTAACCCAAAGAGTTCCCTTCCCCCCAAACCAAGTGGTTACCCTCCTCCTTTGCGTCACACATGGCTCAAATATAACAAATGTGGCTTACCACACAAATGTTAAAATGCATCTTTCGGAAACAAACCAAATCTCTATAGTAGCAAATGTAAACAGAAAAGCTCTAGGCAGTAGGAGTCCAGTGTTCAGTGGGAGGTGGCTTGGGAATGTCTAGATATGAAGGTGTAAACAAATGCAGTGAGTTAAGAATCTCTAGTCAGGGCCACATCATATAAGCCAAATTTGTTAAAAAGGCTTTGCATATAGAAACCTGAGCCATACAAATAAAGGTTCTTAGTAAGAACTACTTGACCATGATCGTCTTGGGAATTTACTCTGATTTTTGCCTCATTTTTTCTACTATGTTCAAAAGAAAACATGTTATTATGTATTAGTTTATAGTCACATAATCATAAATATTAAGGTTAGACATAAATAAGGCCATCAATAAACAAGGCCAAACAAGGGTTATATATTGCAGCTGAAACCTGTAAGTTTATTCATAACAGTGAGCAAATCCAGGCAGCTTACGTTCCACTGGAGCTTACCTCCAGTGGAGGTCCCAAAACATGCTATGAGGTAGACCACTGGAAATCAGACCATCTCTTTGACTACTAGAGGCCTGAGGTACCATTCTAGCCACACAAGTTAATTACTCACTGGCAAGTGTCCATTCTATCTCCTAAAATATCCCAGACATCTGCCCATGGCTCTCTATCCATACTGCCACTCACCTAGGTCCGGCCATTGTCTCCTTCTACTTAGACTACTGCATCAGTCTCCTATCTCTCCATTTCTAGGCTCATGCTATTCTAATGTATTATACTTGCAATCAAAATACTCTTCATAATACATCCCAGGCAGAAAAAATGGTAAATGTGAAGACCTAAGGGCAAGAATGACCCTGGCCTTTGCAGGAACAAAGGAAGTGATCATGACCAGTGAAAGAGACGGAAGAGCAACAGGAGCTGGAGGGATATTCTGGGGCCTTGCCTAAAGCTCTCAAAATTCCCTGGTTGCCCCTCAGGAAACAGTCCAGGCTCTCTTACATGTACATAAGGCCCTGCCAATCTGTGCTACTGCCCATCTGTTCTCTATCACCAGCATGTGCCCTCTCTTTATCCCTTGACTCATAATCAGTATATGAAGACCACTGAAAAAACTTACAGCTTTTTTCAAGTTTCTCAACTGCACAATGCTCTCTGGCCTCTGGGCTTTTGTATATGCTATTCCCTCTGCTTGGAATACTCTTCCATGCTCAAGCTTACAGTCTGAGAATCATTTCCTCTGGGAAGCCAAACGGCCCTCTCACACCACAAAAATTAGAAAAAGGAAAAAAAAAGTTATGTAGTCATGTAGTAGCCTACACTGAGTGTGAATCTAAATACCCATTTAGGGGTCTCCCTGGTGACATAAGGGGTTAAAGCACAGCACAATGAAGATATTTGCAGCAACTGCAGCACGGGTTCAATCCCTGGCCAGGGAGCTGACCCACATTGTGCAGCAGACCTCTCCTGTCTTACCTACTGCTCCCCTCAGCAGTTTATTTCAGTAGATCTACCTGTTCTGTTCCCCACTCTGTGGTGAATCCTCTCACTGCTCCCCATGCCTCTGACCAAGACCCCCATCCTTGTATGCATAAATAAGTGAATCTTTAAAAAAATTACAAAATAAATACCCATTTATCTCTCCCTCCCTGATTGACCATGAACAACTTAAGGGTAAGACTGCAACTTCTGTATACCATTGTGTTCCCAGGTCTGGCATGGTCCCGGTACCAGAGGGAGTATGTGCTCTAAAACTGTGCTGAATTAAGCATGTCCCATGTTGCCAGCTGACGTCATGGAGTAAGTGGGTAAAGACACTTCTTAGTCACCAGGGCATGAAAAGAGCAGAGGTGAGGCCTCCCCGGGGTGTAACGGGTAAAAGCACTATGAAGCTATCACAACTACTGCAGCACGAGTTCCATCCCTGGCCAGGGAGGTGACCCACATGGTGTGACAGACCTCTCCTGTCTCACCCTCAGCAATGTTCTGATCCCCACTCTTGGGTGAATCCTCTCACGCCCTGCACCTCTGGCTTGTACCCCAATTTTGTATGTATAAATAAGTAAACCTTTAAAAAAAAAAAAAAGGAGCAGAGGTAAAGGCAGAACATATCAGTATAACAACTTTGTCTACTTTAAGTTACAACCATTAATTTTTTACTACAGCCTGTTTATTGTCCTCATTGGCTATTATAAGAACCTTTTTCTATAAAGGTTATCTTTAAAACATACAACTTTATCTTTATCATTTTGCCAAAAGTACCTCAGCTATTTCTTAAAAACAAAACTAAACTTTGATGAGTGTACTACAAGTTTTTCTT